CCGCGGGCATGGGGCCGCGAGAGCCCGGGGCGGGGCGCGAGCCCTTCTCCGGTGTGTATAAAGTTACAGAACCCCCCTGCTGAGGGAGTGAGTGCCGTGCCCTGCCCTGCCTTGCCCTGCCCTGCCCTGCCCTGCCCTCAGGTGGGCCGCGGGTCGCGTCGCGGGTGTCCCTGGCAGGTCAGTGCAGCGGCTGCCGTCGTACGGGAAGCCAGCGCATCGGGGAGAAAAGCGATGAATGAAAATGGCTTTATGTGAGCGCTAGAAAAGCAACGCAGGCCTTTCCTGTGTAAGAATGTCACAGAATGAAAAGGGGAAGACTTTATAAATTCCACTGTCGTCATTTTACTGTTGTTCTAAGCATGCTGTAATTAACAGTCTTTTCTTATAAATAGTGTAAAAACCAGTGCTATTGGTATTCGCTGTCTCTGACCAGCTGTTGTTTACTTAAGTCTGTGTCAAATACCACACACCTTTATGGAATCACAGAACCATGGAACAGCCCAGGCTGGAAGGGACCTCGAAAAATCATCCGGTCCAACCTTCCGTGGGAAAGGGAGCTGAGCTGAGCTGATCTAGCATCCTGTGCGTGGGAAAGGGAGCTGAGCTGAGCTGAGCTGATCTAGCATCCTGTCTGACCGCATCTTGAAAACCTCCAGTGATGGGGACTCCGCCACGTCCCTGGGGAGGTTGTTGCAGTGCTTGATTGTCCTTGCTATGAAAAAAATTCCTTGTATCAAGATGAAACCTCTCCCGGGGCCACTTGTACCTGTTGCCCCTTGTCTTCTGGTGAACAGAGAGCCTCCATCCTCTTTGTAGCCACCCTTTAAGTACTGGAACACTGCGATGAGGTCGCCCCCGCTGAGCCTTCTCCAAGGAGAAAAGACCTAACTCCTCTAGCCTTTCCTCATAGGGCAGGTTCACCTGCCTTCATTTGGACCCTCTCCAGTCTGCCCACATCTTTTCTGAATTGTGGGGACCAGAGCTGGACACAGTACTCCAGGCGTGGCCTGACCAGCGCTGAGCAGAGTGGGATGATCACGTCTCTGTCTCTGCTAGTAATGCACCTGCAGATGCAGCCTGGGATCCGATTTGCCTTCGTTGCTGCAGCGGCGTACTGCTGACTCCTGTTCAGCTTGCTGTCCACCAGAACCCCCAGTCCCCTTTCAGCAAGGCTGCTCCCCCGCCACACAGCTCCTAGGCTGCACCGGCCTCTTTGGTTATGTCATCTCAGGTGCAGGGTCTCGCACTTGTCTTTATGATGAATTTTGCTTTATTTATATGGTTTACTTACCATCACTAGTTTCTTTGTTGTTATCCGGTAAAACAGAAAGTGCATCACAGTTTTGTATCCATATGTAATTGGCTTTCCCGGAAGTATCGGAAGTTAAAAATAACTGCTACTCTGGATGATGACTCTTTACCCTACCACATATCAAATGTCTTTCCATGAGCCAGGATGTTCAGCGGCATGCACGGCAATCTGATTTTAGACCAATCCTCTTTACATGCTTGTCAGTATCTTAAGGACAGCATCCTTAATCCCCACCCTAGCAGATACATTCTTTGGTTCTTGAGGAGAGGTCACAGGAATTATCAAAAGCCCGTTTTTCCAGTTCAGGATTTTCTGGGTTCTTTTAAAGAACACTGTAAAGTGTTGGTTGTTCTCCTTCTTTGCCCACTGACAGGTATAGTAATGGTAAATTTTGGTTTTTTCATTAAAACCCAAAATATACAAAATACAGAATTGTGACAAATGAGTTAGGTATTCAGTGTTACAGAGATACATAAAATAGTGCTCTTAAAATCACATAATTTTTACTTTATCCTTTTATTAGTAATATAGTGTTCTTAGAAGAATAATTTAGACACTAATAATTTAGAATAATTATAGCTATTGCTAACTTTTGCCTTGTGAAAATAAAGGTGAAAGCCAGAATTATTAATTAATTACTTTTCCTCTTCTAGGTATTAGCTCCAGCTCTGTGACACTTCATCTGTTACCGTTCAACGACTTGTATTGAATTCAGAGATACTTTTGCCTTTTTTTTTTTTTTTTAGGACATACAGGAGAAGTGCCAGGCTTTTAACAGTTCACTTAGATTTATGTGTAGTGGTTGATATACATAGATATTTAAAATCTCAGGGAACTAAAGTTGATATATGTACTGTCATTGCTAACTGAGGGCAACTCACATATTTATTGAGTTTGTTTACATATTCATGCATATATTGCAATGACACTTCTGATAATACTTTTGTTGTTGATAGAGTACCTAACAAAGTCAGTTACATAGCAAGGACACAAAAACAGGACTTTCAAATGTCCACATGTTAGCAAACCTCATACCTTACCCCTTACAATAGCTTAGAATTGATATTTTGCGATGCTCTTTAACTTTGAGTAATGGTCTGTCAGACTACTTAAGCTTTGCACGTCTGCATTTGAAGACAGACCATTATCTTTTGCATTATCCATATGAAGCCATACCAAATTTCTCGTTCTGCAAGTATGAAACAAAGCACTCACTGAAACTAAATCAGAACTTCTTAGGTCACATTTTATTTGTTCTTTTTCCACATTTCCTACTGCTATATTTAATGGGAAAAACAACAGATATTTTTTGTTAATTCTGTGACCTTCACATTTCTGAAGTCGCTTGGGCTCTAGTTGTTTTTGGGTTTTTTTTCCTCTCAACTCCATTCCAGTTTTTACAGTTAAGGAATCCACATGACCACGTGAAAACTCAAACTCCATCTGCACACACCCTCTACAAAGCACACAGCTGCTTATTTGCTCAGCTCTGTGGGAGCGCGCAGCCTCATAATGATTGAATGGTGCCAACTACAGAATTTGCAGGTTGTTTAGAGCATCCAAAGAAAGTTATCCCTGAGGAAGAAGTTACCAGATTCTTTGACCCTGACACAGGGGGGTGTTATCCTGGACTTACCATCCATAAACTGAACTCCATGCACCTTTTTTTATTCAGGTGATGGTGAAGGGTAGGCTGGTGGATGAGGTGACTGCCTGATGGGAAACTCTGTACATCCTTGGGTTCTTGGGTCTTCTATTGAATTGAAAGAGTTGACAAATAGGCCCTAGAAATTACCTGTGGTAAATATAAGCCAAAATTCTTCTTTGAGATCATTTTAGTATCCTGGATACACTCACAAGTGGGGTTCTTTCTTGGTGACATGAGTGCCAGCTGCTCCGTAAGAGAGGGAAGCCAGGAGCTGAGGGTGATACTGTGGCCAGCAGGGGAGGACCTTGCAAGCCAGGGCCTGTCCCACCACCCCCAGTCAGGGAGCAAGGCAGGCAGGGGTGGGAGGGCAGCCCAGAGCCCAGGTCATCAGGCAAGTGCATGATGATGAAGCAGGTCCGAGGTCAAGCACATAAGTCAATCCTCAAGTCAGGGTCAGGATCAGGTCTGGTGGGGTGAACAAGGGCCAGATGTAGCCCAGGGACCACCAGGCAGGTCCACGGTGACCAGGCAGGTCTGAAGTCAACATGGAAAGTTGGTGGGTCAGGGTCCAGATCAGCAGGACCCAGATCAGCGGGACCCATGGCAATACATGTGATGATCTGCCACTAGCGCCACCCCCTTTCTTCTCCTGTGACACAGTTTCTCCTCACTAGGTGGGGAGTCATTTTGGTAAATCAAGAGCAAAGAGCCTTGGTTGCTACATGAAGAAATCCTACATAGCAATGTTTATAAGTGCAAAGCAGTCAGGAAGGCTAAGCCACTCTTTCCTCTTCGTGGTTATCATAGAATCATAGAATAGTTTGGGTTGGAAGGGACCTCTAAAGGTCATCTAGTCCAACACCCCTGCCGTGGGCAGGGACATCTTGAACTAGATCAGGTTGCTCAGAGCCCCGTCCAAC